TTTCTTTCTAGAGAAGCCACCTAGGGCTTTGGGGCACTGAAGGCTGGACACCTGCGCCCAGGTTCCCTGTGCAGAGGGTGGATTCCTTCCGCCCATATCTGCCCCCCCCCCCCGACAATTCCAGGGTACAAAGTGAGAAGGCCTGATCTGAGCCCTGGGGGGTAGGGGGGTAGGTGGCCTCTTTCTAGACGCCTTGTCTCTGTCCCAGGTGAATAATTCTGTATGCAATCCAACATGGAACTGGGGTCAGGACTTAGGAAATTCCACCCATAGCCTGCCTGTCATATGGGAGAGCTCAGGCCACTTCATAACCTGGCAGGCACGGGCCCCAGCAGCCCGAGCTGTGTTCTGAATTACGGATGGCAGGTTGGGAGAAGGACTGCAGAAACCCCGAGGCCCGCAGGGACCAGAGCAGCCTGCAGGAGTGCCCCTGCCGGGTCACTTGCAGGAAGAGAGCCGGGACCGTGTGCTGGAGGGAAGAAACACACCCGCCTTCGGGGGAGGAGACGTTGGCAGGGCCACCTGTCACAGAGGTGATGCCGGAGCGGTCTCTTTGTTGCAGACAGTGACGAACACCTTCCGTGCGGCCAACGTCCAGATCCAGAGCCAGGACCAGAGGCTGCTGACCCTGTGGCTGGACAAGGACCATCGGCGCACTTTCAGGGATGTGGTCAGGTGAGGCTGGGCCCGCCACCTCCTGGGCTGCGTGCCCCACCAGGCAGACCTAGCAGAAGCCAGCCCCTCCCATCCCCCAGCCCCCGCCTCCAGCCTTGCCAGAGGCAGATCCTGAGGCCGGGCAGGTGTTCCTGGTGGGTGTGAACTTGGGCCGCTGCCCTGTGACTTGAATCCAGGAAGAAGGGCAAATGCACGGCTGATCCCAAGCAGCCGAGATTGCCATGAACCTGCAGCTGCAGCCCTCCCGACCCAATGCCCGGTACTGGCACTGCCCCCTGCAACACAAGCTGCCCTACGGTGGCAGCTTTGCCCAGTTCCTGTGACCCTTGTTGGGTAAGGACGGTAGACACAGTGACCCATCCAGCCATGTTCTCCTCTCCCAGTGTTCGCCCTCGGCCAGGGGGCTCTTTCTTCTCCTGATGCTCCCTCCTCCCTCTATGGGGCCCCCTCCTCTATACCCTTTAACCCCTGAGATTTGAACCCTGAGATCGGTCTCCTGAGCTGGTCTGTCTCCACTCACAGATTCGAGGTTGCCCCCTGCCCAGAGCCATGTTCCGGGGTCCAGAAGTCCAAGGCGCTATGGCTCAGTTCACACCAG